ACTAGCACAGCCGGTTTAACAGATAGATATAACACAGAGAATAAGATATGTTTTTATTTGCTTTGTGGATTGATACACATAATGCAATCATATAAAGAGTATTTCGAACTTGCAACAGTATGTACAAAACCCTCTTACCTCAAATATCATGCTTTCTAATTCAATGGGTTAAAGCCATTCTACCAACAAAGACTCATTAAATAGCACTTACCAAAGAAACAACACAAGTTTTGCAATAAGAGGATAAATTATATCCTCAAACACAATGTGACATGCTACTCACTTTTCAAATACTGGTTGGATCAATATGCACCAACCAGTAGTTACCAGAGCAGTGCTAGATCACAGAACTAGTACCGATCAGTATTCATTATCTTAGTATGTTTCTTTCGGTGATACCGGCCGTACAGATCAGTATAGCGCCGAGTACCATACCAGTCTGGTAGGGGTGAAAATTGATACTGAAACAGTATCTATAATCTTGGATTCTATGTTACTAAAGATCTGTGACTTAACCTCCAACGCTCATACTCAAAATGCAAAAGAACACTCAATAAGAGATACTTAAATTCATTATCGTCTTTAATAAGCTTACTGAGGGCTACCAGCATAGCACTTCCAGAACAATTTTGGTTCACTATACAAGACTATAATGAATTTATCTTGAGGCTATCTAGTCCCCGAATAATATATGCATATTTGTATATATGAGACTAATTACATATTACTTATATAATTAGTTACATTTAGTATCTTAATTCTTATATTTTCAAAAGTTACGTTAAGATCTTTATACTTACGAAGGTAAAATATTTAAAATTTTTTTTATATTTTTAATCTTATGAAATTACTTTTTTAACAGGGATCTCAATAACTAATTACATGAGATAATCTATAAATAGCCCATATATATATATATATATATATATATATGTATGTATGTATGTGTGTGTGTGTGATCAATAAGATGCATTCTGAGTTCCCTCATTTTAATATTACTTTCACTCGGACATTTTCATTCCATATTCTAGAGTGATCCAAGCTCCAGATAGCATAGCTACAAGCAATCCAACCATTTAAATTGACTCCATCAATAATGTTTATTACTCCATGAATGCACCAGACTTTTGCACTTTTTGGACAGCCAAATTGTTTCTTCTAATGTCCATCAAATTATCATTATGACCCCATTTTATAAAAACGATTACACAGCTCTTTAGAAGGATGTTCACTTGCTCTTACCCGACCCTACTTCTTAGTGTGCTTTCAAAACTTGCTCTTGAAGCACACGATAGAAAAGCATTCTCATTTTGAATACCGAAGACTTACTACACAAGTATAATCAACCAAAATTGAACTTGCATAATTTGACCACAAAAAATGCATGACAACATAGTTTTCACAAGCATGAGAACTCATTATCTTGTTAAGCATGACAAAATTACCAATGAGGCAATCACTATACTAAAGAATTGTCTGTATGAGTTAATGATTATGTCTTTAATCCCTCAAACAACTAGTTCTAAATGATGAAAATGAGAATTGAATGCTTGAGATAGATACCAAAAAAAAAAACTTACTACAGATCTAGAACAGATGTTTTCAGTAGCAAACAATTATTTCTGAAATACCCTGGCCTTTTGAATTTCTCAAGGTTGAATGTACAGGATTAAAATTGCCACTGTAGCAAGTTACACACTAGAACGAAGTTCTTCTTGCAGGGATTCACTAACCATACCGAGATGAGGCAATGCCTATAACTTCATTTTTGTCCGAAGTTAAGTTCCTATTCCTCCCTTGTATATTGATAGATTATATACTAATCGACACATCGTCAAGCGACGATCGCTTGGTTTATACAATGATCACTCGATCCCATCATCACGTTATCAACTATAACCATGGTTCATAAGATCACACAACAACGATCATGTTTAGCAAACACCCAGCAGCCAATCTCAATAGCATGTTTAGTTCAGCCAGGTCCAATGATGAGATAAGCACCTTCAAGGGTATAAACCAGACATGGTCGTCACTTAATCGAGTTAAATCAAATTTCAACTGGGTTCCAGCCAATGGCCAATTCCTGCTACCTTTTGGTTGCTTCGATCACATTCTATACATATTCTAGATAATTCAGAAGGTTTAGCATGCCACATCTGAGTGACACCCTGTTGATTTCGGTTGATCCCAATCGGTCCTCATCAAATCCAACAAAATTTTGATTAATCCTGCGAACTTAACTATCAACTTGGTCTCCGAGTCGCATTACAGAAGCCCTAAACAAGTCATTTGTATTCATTTAATTCATTTAGACGCATTTCCTAAACAACATTTCCAACATCCAAAGCTACAAGAAACCATACTCCCTAATCTATTTAACGTAATGCAAATCAACAATATAAATTGCATAAAAGAGCCACAAACTTACCATAAAGTTCGTCAGGCAAATCTTGCCAGCATCGGCTACCGACCGCTGATCCTCCTCCTTGACCACGATGTCCTCTTCCTCGTCCTCATCAGAAGAGCCCTGGCGAGCCTGGTCTCCCTCTCCTCGTACTCTTCATGTCCTCCACCACCTCCGGCTTGCTCCGGCTCCGAGCGCCTGCCTTCCCGAAAAGAACCTCGTCCCAGATCGACCTCTTGGGGTCGATCGGAGCCTGCGTGGAAGGGAGAAGGCGGATCTGTTGAAGTCGGCGAAGGATTGAGAGAGGCAGGAGTGGTATAGACCAGAGGCAAGGATCTTAGAAGTTGAGAGAGAGAGAGAGAGAGAGAGAGAGAGAGAGAGAGAGAGAGATGGCTCTTATCGTCTCAGACCACGGTTTTAAAACGGCCTTCACTTTCCCTCCTCTTCTTAGGATGTGTTTCCGTTTCAGACCACGGTTTTAAAACGGCCTTCACTTTCCCGCCTCTTCTTCCTCCCGTTGAACCGGTTCGATCAAACAACAATGATCGAGCTATTTATCGGTTCGAACTGATTTAAATTAATATTATAATATTAATTAAATCAAATAATATTTAAATCAATATATTATTATTATTATTATTATTATTATTATTATGAAATGTATCGATGAAATTAAAGTATCATGACGAGGATGTAGTTCTTCCTTAAATTGACTATATCAAGATAATATAATAATAATAATAATAAGATTATGAAATTGATTAATAATATTTGTTAATAATTATCTAAATTTTTAATATATAAAGAAATAAACTTTAAGTGAAGCAAAATACTGGTTACGATAAGCTACATGATTAAAACCCATAGTTATTATTGTTGAAAAGAATAGAAGATAAAAAGAATTATTGAAGAAGTTTTATCGAAGAAACTTGAATGCATTAACATGTCCTCTCCTATTTATATAGATTAGGAGGAAAGATTTACCTCAATAGAATAGAGATATTTTTTCATATAATTAGAGAAATTTTATATGTTATTAATTATTAATCAAAATCGATGGAAAGGTGGTGATGTATCAAATGAATTTATCAATAATATCAAATGATCCCAAACTCTATTGAGCAAATTTTACACTCGTAATATCAATTTGACTGTGGTATATCAAATTCATTTTCTAAGTGTCTAGTGATAATGTATCAAATATGCTCCTCAATAATGGAAGGTTTGGAAGTTTACACTTAAAGTACTCATTAGTACTTACGTACGAGACTAAATGTTGAATGTTCAAAATAATTCATCATGTGACGACATGACTTGTATTTTGTCAACAGAAACTCAACATGTCAAATTCAGTCGAAATGTTGTATAAAATCCCGACGTGATCTCTTGTGATTAGCTACGATAAATTATGAAATAGTGAAAATCACATAGAATGATATAAATTAATAATAGGAAATAGAGAGATATAAGAAGTTTTTACTACAAACTTTAAATATATTTTTTAGAAAATATTAACTATAAATATTGCATACCCAATAACAAAAATAATTATGTAGCTGCTCGCTGGATGCCGTGCAGGAGATCGGACAAACGGGTGTGTGCTGTCCACTGCCCTGCACGAACTTTTCACCACTTCAAAAGATGACACGCCCACTGATTGCAAGGAGAGAGAAGGTCAGATGGGACCAATTACTTCCCACTCTGGTAGACCCCATCGCATCATGCGGTCTTTCAATTCGGTAGGTAAGTGTCCACTGCTTTTCCTTGCTTCCTCCTCCAGGAATCAATCATTCCCCTCACCTCAAGCACAACACACATCTTCTAATGGCGAAGAGATTCTAATTCTAAGTTCGACACACTCCTGCTACTTCCACAAGGATAGAGCAAATCTTCTAAAGCTAGATTATGTCTCGCCAATGATCCGCTAACGAGTCAACCGAGCAGAGCAGAGCAGAGCAGAGCAGCGGAGAGGAGATGATGATGATGATTACTGCTGGGAACAGCAGTGGACAAAGGAAGGAAGAAAAGAAGGCACCATCGTGACCCACCTACTCGTTTTAACTTTTGCCCACAGTTTGGGGGGTCTAATAATTAAAGGAATCTTAGTACCTCTGCTTCCTCCTTAACGGAGACAATGCATGTAGTGCCGCTGCGCGATCCAAAGCAGAGGAGGGCACGTAGATCCAGCTTGTGACTCGGGACCCCTCTCGCCTCCGCCGCTCACGCTAGTTACAGTCGTGAGACCGATCCCGTGTGTTGGCGAAGCAGGTCGAGATCGACGGGAGCAGTGAGTGGATCGAGAAGGTGCAGACAACGCACCTTTTACCCGCTCTAGCATTTTCCAGAACAGGTGGACGGCATTCGGTAGCCCCACTGACCCACACCAATCCTTTCTGCTGCTCCTCCAAAAATGATTGCTCTCGTCGTCTCCGCATCCGTAAAACATCGACAGCTAATGACTCGGATGCCATGTACTGATGGAAATGTATCGTTTGCTTCCCCTGATGATGATGATGATGATGAGCCAGCAAACCTTCCTGCACAACTCTCCCGGTGCTAATCACTGGGATGAAACTACTATTAAGCCTTTCGGAAGCTTTTCTTCGGAAATGGAGGCTTCCGATCACAAGTGCTGTGCATGAAACATCGTTTGCGAGCAAATCCTGTTGCCCTGTGCGCTCAGCAGTCCGCAGCTTGTTGTTGTTGGTGTGCTGCCACACCTCTTTTGCCTTGGCTGCGAGGTGGTGGCCACTGAGTTCCGTTTCGTATCGCAGAAGATGACCACATTCCCCAATCAGATACTCGGTTGATGTGTACTCTCACGTCGACTACAAACCACCCGCCCATGTCCAAGAATCCAAAAGCTCCCCATCCCTCTCATCCTACTCTTCCCCAATCCCCTTCGTTGCTTCCACTCCACCAACCTGTTCCTGCGGTGCACCACACGCTGCCCTTCCCCTTTAAAGCCCTCGCAGCGCCACCGCCACGCAGGAAAGGAGAGCATATCAACGGTAGTAGCGGCAGCGGCGACGACAGTGACATGGCTGGTCTAAGCGTTCTCTTGGAAACACACAACAGCTTGCCAAAATACACTCACATCATAAGCAAAACCTCCCTCGTTAAGAACTCTTCTCTCTCTTCTCCTCCTTCCTCCTTCGCCACCAGCCCTTTCCTGGAACGCTGCTACCTTTGCCGGAAGAAGCTGCAACAGGGCAATGATATCTACATGTACAGGTGAGTCACAGAACCTTTGGCTTCCGCTCATTCTCATCTCTTCCCGGTTTGCTCGCTCTCCAAGTTTCGGTCGGGTGGGTTTTCGCCCTGCAGGGGGGACCGAGCGTTCTGCAGCGTGGAGTGCCGCTGCCGCCAGATATTTATGGACGAGGAGAGCGGGCGGAGGGACCAATGCTCCCTCGCCGCCGCGGCTGCCTCGGCGGCTGACGCCGGAGCCCAGTCGGACCGCGGCCGGCCGGGGAGGGCGACCCGAAAAGGGCGGGCCGTGGCCGGTGGTTTCGCCTAGTGTCGTTACTGCTTTGGCCAAGCACCTGGTTTTGGTGTATTGACCAAAATACCCTCGCCTTGCTATTTTCCCCCTCTTCATTCCATTCTGAAGGGAATGGGTTTGCGGGAGCCTCATGTACTCTGTTCCTTCTCGGATTACATTGTTTTGTTCTTACTTCGATAAATAAACATATTATATATATATATATATATATATATATGTATGTATATATATTAGGCTATAAAAAATATAAATGCACATTCACAGACACACTCCATTAATGCACTCTTTCTCTGTTTGCATACTCCATTTTGTTTTAGTTCGGAACCACTTTTCTGCAACGTTGGAGAAGAACTTTTCTTTCTTTCTTTGGTTTTACCTTTTTCTAAAGAAGATGCCTCAAGAACATGTCAAAAGGAAGTCTCAGAATCGAGTCTCCCCATACCAAATCAGAGAAGTGCTGCAGAGATCAATGTGTTAGAGAACAGAGTGGTTTCCAGGAACAAAGCAGAAGCTTAACATTTGTGTTCTCTTCCTCAGTTTATGATCGCTGGATAGATGTCTGATGGAGACATCATTGGGTCCCGACTTTATACAAAGCACCAAAAGCTGACTCAGATGATCATGTGAAAACTATATGTGTTTGGCACGCAAGTTACTGATGATTGAATGTTTGATTGTACTGCTCGCTTCGATGAGACCATACTAATCCGATGGTGGGTGAAGAAGAAGCCCACCACCACCATATGCTTGATTTGATCTTGCGGCACTCACCATTACCCACTGCCAAGGAGGTGATGACGTGTGTAATAGAAATAGGTTTTCAAATATTTTATTTTATTTTATCGTGATTTTAAATCGAATTTTATCAAAAAAATATATATTTTTTATTTACTTTAAATTTTTATTTTTAATATTAGTAAATTATTTTTTGGTCTCCCTCTTTTAATTACTATTCATTCACACCTTACTAATTATCTTATATTTTATGAAATATATCAATTTATTCTTTTTTATAAAAAAAATATATATTTAATAGTAATTTCATCCATTCATTTTAATAATATAATTTCGAAGATAAGCCAGAATTTAATATTATAATTCACTATTTACCCTTTACAAATTAAAAAAAATAATGGTGCGAATATCCGATGATCCAAAAAATATTATTGGCTTAATAATTTTTTTATATCTCATATTTAAATAATTTCACTATTACTAATTTTCTTATATTTCCAAACATTTTACTTGTTGAAAAATCCCCACAAAATTGTTCTGCGATCATCACAACCGTCGATGGGTGCTGATGGCGGGACCCAGACATCCGCCAATAGTTGACGGCCACCTGTACCCGTTACACGAGGAGGACACTCAAGTAGCGGCCGATTTCTTACCCTTAAATAAAGCATGCATGAATGGGAGGGAAAGACCGCCCCGCACCCTAAACCCTGCTTTCGCTGGGAGAGGGTTTCGGAGCCGTCACGGCGAAAAGGTTCTACTTCCCTTGCTCGCCGCCGCTCCTTCTTCTGTAAGACTTGCCTCTTCTCGGGGTTCTTGGTGGGGGAAGAAGACTTCTTGGTGGTCGACAGCCATGGCGAGGCTTCTTCGGTCCGCTTCTTTAAAGCGAGCCTTCTTTAGCTCAGAGGTTCTGTTCTTCACTCAAAAATCTTCTGTTTCCATTCTTCTGCAATGCGTCCACTAAGATCGATTTCTTTACACCAAGAAACCCTTGTCGAACGTGATTTGTGGTAGTCATTTTCATTAATATACGCATGAAAGAGGAAGGAGGGAAAAATGCCCCAAACCCTAAACCCTTCTTTGTCGGAGAGGGTTCTCGATTCCCTAATGGCCGCCATGGCAAGACACGTGTGAGGTTTCCCTTGGTATCGAAGCCGAATGAGAGTTCTTGGTGGTCGACGGTCTCGGGTGTGCTTTCTTTAAGTGAGCCGTCTTTGCTTCAGAGGTTCTATTCTCTACCTAAATCATTTGTTTTCATCGTTATGCTGTGCTATCAGGTTACTAAGACCGATTTCTTTACACCAAGAAAGCCTCTCTTGAACGTAAAATCGTGTCGTGCACCCCAAATCCTAAACCCTTTTCTGTAAGAGAAGGTTTTGGAATCCATAATGATCACCACGGCAACAAACATGTGACGTTTCCATACCTTCGTCGCCTATTCTCCTTTGTCTAAGGCATCCCCCTTATCAGTGTCTTCAGCCATGGCGGCGTTTTTCTAGTGCGCTTCTCTTTGCCTCGTAGGTTGTATTATCGACTTAAATCATTTGTTTCAATCGTTCTGTGGTTCCATCAGGTTACAAAGATGGAATTCTTGAAACTAAGAAGCCTTTGTTGGACGAAAAATCAAGTCCTTCTTAGTGTTTTGTGGTCTATTTCAAGCACTTAAATCATTTTTCTACTGATGATCAAAGGTATAATACAGTAAAGTTAATGATAGTAAGGAAAGGGTTTTCTGGTTTCCATTTAGCATTTCTTTCTTCATGATTCTGCAACCGTAATAACCAGGTTTTAGTTTCAATATGATCAATCAAAAGAAGATTTCAGTCGTCACAGTTTGGACTATTTTGTTGCTTGCTGTCACATTGCTAATTGTTTTGTTGCAAATGTTTCCGCTTGCAGAAATATGGGCCAGAAATCAGGGGAGCTAATATCCAATTCTACAACTTTTCTAGTAAAGGTAACAGGAGTACATGATTCATGTATACATGGTTATGGTGTTCTTACACTTCCAGCATCTTTCTTTTCTTTCTTTTTATTTCTGTCGATTCGTTATATAGTCAAATGGAAGACCTGGTATATATGCAGAGAAGCTAACAACACTTCAACTGTAAAGCAATATGGAAAATGTTTATTAACAGATTATGCTAGGTTATACAGTAACTATTTCTTGGTCAGTTTATTTTCTCTGATCTATATTCTGATAATCCTGAAATAAAAGATGTGTTTAGGTGGATTATTAGGTATATGTTATGATTGACACCTGTTCTAAATCTCAAAATTTCCCTAAGTTCTGTTCTTTTTGATGGTTCGAGTTATGCACACATGCTTGGGATTTTCTTCAGCCATGTCCATGTACTAGGCTATATTGATCAGTGCCATTTTGGTTGATCTGAACCTGAACTGCAAAGTGTGTTATTGTAGGAAAAAGTAAATCGAAGCCAGTTGGAACTGAAACTGGTGAAAATAACCTGTCGAAGAAAGATCTGGCTTTACAGCAAGCCTTGGACCAGATTTTAACTTCGTATGGAAAAGGCTCGATCATGTGGCTTGGCCGTTCTGCTGTTCCTAAAGAAGTTCCTGTTGTGTCTACAGGATCTTTTACATTGGATATGGCATTGGGAATTGGAGGTCTTCCGAAGGTACCCACTTATATTTGTCAAGTCTGCTAAATATTTGTACCGTTGGATGAGTTCTTTAACAAATTGACTAGTTCTTAGACTTCGTTAGTAGTCGCAGTTAAAGTAATAGTTCTGAAACATTATATTTTATATAGTAATATATATTCTCTTGATGGTAGTTTTAGTTCTGTGCTTATTCTTAGATTAAGTAGCTTATTAATTCTCTCACATTTTTTGTTTTCCTTCATATGTAGTTCAATATGAGTCTCTGAATTGAGCTTAATTTTTCATAATTATTTGGATGATGATAACATAGAAGAACATGTTGTCCCAGCTACTGAGGCATTTGGCTGTTTGTAGATATCTTGGACACTCCCACCATGTAAGTGAGGACAATTTGTCAATCCAAATAGTGAAACATTATGCTCATTTATAGTCTTGAATACTTGCATTAACAGCTTGACAAATCATTAGCACAATCTTAACAAACTCAGAACACCATGAACCCTGTTAAAATCACCAGCTAAATTCTGTTTCATCTCAACTTCGTCTTGCACAAATGAGTTATCCGAACAACATCTGTGAGAAGCTCACACCTAAGTGAAGGCTTCTACAAGGTTGTTGAAGTGGTTTGAACAGCTTGTTTTCCTTCCAAGTCATCGAAGCCAGGTGTGGTGTTTATTATATTCTTCCCTCTCATCTTCAATGCTGGGGAATCAAATGCTTTTGACCCTTGATGAAGCTTTATTCTTGGTATCATGATGCTGGAGTTCATCAGAGTGACAACCACTATGTGTGAAATTTAGAACATGGAGGATTAGCAATGATTTACTTTGATGTCGCTCCTGGGCAAGTCAATTCTCTGTTCTCCCATAGAATTACTTTGTTTTTACTATAGTTATCCCGTCATGCGTTGGCTGATTCATCATAATTTATGGCATGCAACCTTGTCTATATAATTGCAATTATCCTCTAGTGTAACCTTATCTAAGTATTCTTCCCTCTCATCTATGTAGAGGAATCAAATGCTTTTGATCCTTGATGGAGCTTGGAGCTCCCATCATTTTGAATCTATTTTAGGCAGAGATATAAAAGGCCCATGTTGGTTCTTATAATTCAAAAAACAAAATGATCAATCTGATCTCAGGAATTTGCCAGGCAATAGATATGCACTTTCTTCTTTACTGCCTGAAATTGGTTTTCCTATTTAATGGGATCTATACCATATGCAATGTCGAAAAAGCAGACACTTGATTATGTGGTTATGCAGACATTTTGGATGAATGATAATATTTCTGTCGGTTTATTGAAATAAGCTTCCATTATATGGTCAAAAGTGACCCCTGAACATGTGATGGGGGACGAGTGTTATTTTTTCAGAGGTATAATTCTCATTGTGCTGTTGACGTGTGCTCAATTTTGTCACACTTTTCTTTTCTTCATAAAAAAAACCCATTAATTTGCTTTCATCAAGTGGCCAACAACATTAGCAACAATGTCCCACCGGTCACTTATTGAGTATTGACTATAAAAAAATGTTGGATATGTTAATAACTCTTTTTATGTAATTATCCACTGGGTTCTGAAATGCTCGCCTTTTGTGTCTGGCAGGGCCGTGTTGTGGAGATATATGGTCCAGAAGCTTCTGGAAAAACTACACTTGCTCTTCATGTTATTGCAGAAGCACAGAAGAACGGAGGTAATGTTGTTTGGACTTCTTGCAATCTGACATGCTTCCTTTGAGTAATGTTCTGCATATTTCTGAAACAGTTGGTAGTCTTTAATAAACAATTTAGAGAGAAATATGCAGTAGTTGGCATGATCGTCAATAAAAAAAGTTAGTGCATATTGCTGAAACAGTTGAATTGTATGTTGATAATCATGCCTCTGAAAGAATTAATTTTATCACCGCACAACTTATTGTGGTGCATGGGGCAGGGGAATACATAAAAAGCACTCTCTTATAAAGAGTAACTTAAACATCCTTAGGTGATCGTGGTATTTCGAATATCTCAAACACTTCATATTTAATCTATCCTGCATGCACTAACTTTCTAGATTTGTTTTATTTTACAGGTTATTGTGCTTTCATAGATGCAGAGCATTCTCTGGATCCAGCGTTGGCAAAGGTTATTGGTGTTAACACTGATAATTTTCTTGTTTCACAGCCAGATTGTGGTGAGCAGGCACTTAGTCTCGTCGATACTCTAGTTAGGAGTGGCTCAGTTGATGTTGTGGTTGTAGACAGTGTAAGTCGTAAAGGACTCTGAGTTGTTACTTAAAGATATCTGCTTCTTTCCTTTTTCTATTTCTTGAACCTAGAGATGGATTTTGCATCATGGTCTAATTGTTATAGTTTGTCAGACATGAAGTCTTGCATTCAACTGATGATCTATGCATGGGATTCTGTAACATACATATCTTGTATAAACTGTAAAGTGAAATATCTTCCTGCTAATTACATTCTCATCGATCTTGAGTCTGCATATTCAAGTTATTGTGGACACTGCAATGGTGGACAAATCTAGAAGTATTTTGATAGCCGAAAATTTTGAAGTTTAAAAATTTAAAAATAGTTGTTAAAATATGTTGATAACCTTTTGCCCTTGATTTTCTTCTGGAGTTCAGGTGGCCGCCCTCGTACCTAAAACTGAACTTGATGGTGAAATGGGAGATTCCCATGTGGCACTCCAAGCAAGGTTGATGAGCCAAGCTCTTCGCAAGTTGACCCATTCACTTTCCCAGTCGCAGACACTCTTGTTATTTATTAATCAGGTAAGTTTTAAACACATGCAAGCAAGTTTTCAGCTATATTTGCTCAGAGTTTCTCTTGTATGTAATTGATATAAAAGCTTCATAAATTTAAGAATTGAACTTGAGCCTCAACGCCACCAATTCTCTGGAGGCTTTTTTTCTTTGTTTGGGCCTACTTGGATATAATTTTTTGTATGTGTCATTTACAAAAAATTGTTTTTCCTACTTCATCATGGCTGCATTATCTGAAGGATAATTCTAATACAGGCTAAGCAGTTGATTCCAGTTTTCATACATGGTAATGATAAATAGTCACAAGTTATATTTTTTTGGTTTGTATTTATCCATAGCTTTCTGTGCTGTCAAATTGATGATGGTATTTTGAGTTATGGATTTTTGATACTACACTGGATTTTGGCTCCTGCTTCATGAATTTGTTGACAGCCATTAGCAATCAGTTGATGTACCTAAGTGACATGAACAAAAAGAAAATTTGTTTGATTATACCCACCTTGACTTTGTATTTTTGGGTTTAGTTGAGAAAATTGCAAGCTCAATGAAGCATTGAAAATCATTAATTGAATGACTGATTCATACGGCAACACTGCAATGAAATGAAGCTATGCGCTGGTCTTATTGCCACGATTTGTCTTTGTAAACATGTAACATGGTATATGCAGGACACTCATAAAATACCTACATTGGTTCCGGTGAATTTCTGATATTTTTCCATTGCCACACACAGCAAAAGTTTGGAACCTGAGATGCATTTACTAAATTCTTGGTCTGTCCTCCCATTTTTGTAGGTTAGAGCAACTATGAAGACATTTGGATTTGGTGGGTCAACAGAAGTGACCTCTGGCGGCAATGCCTTAAAGTTCTATTCATCTGTTCGCCTTAATGTCAGAAAATTTGGCTTGGTTAAAAAAGGCGACGAGGTATTATAATTACACAAAGTTCAATTGCCATACTGATTGTAGTTTCACTAAACATTTTGTCCAGAACTGGATTTGCCATAAAATTCTAATTAATCACGGTGAGTTCTAGAAATGCACACTTGAGAGTTTCTGTATGGTTTTAACTTGTGGAGTGGGAAGTCTTTGCCATCGTTATATTTGTTATAACCCTTTCATTTGTGAAAAGCTAGGCTTTAGTTCAAAAGTAATTGTTTTCTCATCGGACATATCATGATTGACATTGTGGCAGACTTTGGGGAGCAATGTCCTGGTGAATATTGTGAAGAATAAACATGCCCCTCCATTTAAGACAGCACATTTTGAGCTCGAGTTTGGCAAGGGGATCTCCCGTGAGTCAGAGATGGTAGAACTAGGTTGCAAGCATGACTTTATCACAAAACGTGGTGCTGTCTATGGTTTTGACGGAAAGAGCTTCCGTGGAAAAGATGCCCTTAAACGCTATCTCATGGAGAATCAGGGGGTCCAAGAAGAACTAACGATGAAGCTGAGGGAGAAATTATGGAACAACAATGCTGATAACACAGATGGAGCATCTGATGCAGCAGATGACACTGTTGCCATTGTATGATGTGTCGTCATTTTGTACAAGGGTTTGGGCTTTTCTTGCAGACCATGCTCAGCTGGAAATGAAATCCAAAGATGGTGATCGATTGGTATCTGTAATTGATCTTGTCCAGTGTAGTGGACTAAGCTTTTGATTCTGGAAGTTTGGAGGACATGGTGGCATCAGAGAGAAAAGTCCAGATTTGTAATGGTCATATGGAACTACTCTTTGCTTCGTACTTTACTATTTTTCAGATTTATGATTATATGCAAAGATTGCGTAGCAAAGTGATTTTGTAGGAGTCATCGGAGATAATGCATGTGATTTTGTAATGGTCATATGGAACCTGAGATAATGCATGTGATTTTGTAGGAGTTATCTTGTGAAAAGCTTTTCTGGCAGCAATCGTATGTATCCCTGAATTCATCAGTTTTCTAGGTTTTTTTAGAAACTTATCGTGGGATTTCAATAAATGACACCAGCTTTGTGTTATTTTAAAATCATTTTATTTCCTTTAATCTCCATTTGTTTTTATTCGTTCTTGATACTTAAGATTAATTTTTATTTGCTGTATTGTTGCGTTGAAATATTGTGATTTGAAGTATTGTTCCATGTCTTCTATTTGTATGTATGTACGTATTTATTTTTCCTCTCGAAGCGAAAAGTTCTCCTTCGGATCTCCCAAAGATTTTGTTTGATGCGTCGGCCGGAAACACGTGAACCAATCGGTTGAGGACTAATTCGGCGCCGACTCGGTCAACATGGGGAAAACAGATGCACGCACCTCGACGATCAATTCCAAAGAAAAACCGCCGCCTAACTCCACGGCTCGCTTTGACCTCGTCGGCAAAGCGAAGCGTTAGAAACGTGGGGGCAACCGTTTCAACCCACCCGGGTCATGTTCTCTCACCCCAGCAGGATCCATCGCTTCGTTCTCCACAAGGACGATTGATTGACCCACACCGCACAACATATGAAGCATCTTCTTTCTTCCTTCCAGAAAGAAGCGACAAAAATACTTTCGGGACCCACAACTTGCGAGGTGGAGGAACGATGTCTCCTGCCCCGGCCAAGACATGGGAACTCTACCGTAAAGACTACATAGTGATGCCAGCCGGCGACGCGCAAGAGACACCACAATTGATATGCTAGTGCGCCTTCTTCCTTCTTTCCCCTCTCTCTCTCTCTCTCTCTCGCG